ATGTCATGTAAACTTTTGTATCACATGTTCTTGCGACTTCCAAATTTCTGGCACACAGCGCGGTCTTTAAGCATCATGTTTATTTTGTCTAAGACTGAACATTTTGGTGAATACATTTAGCTCAGCCTCAGTTCATGCTTCATTAGGTCTCTGGTTTACTTGATTTGGGTTCGGTATAGTTAGTATGCTGATGCAGTCTTTCAATACGTTAATAGATAAGCTGGGCAGAAAGGGCCTTTAGCTGAATGATTATCACAGTTTCTATAGCGGTGTTTTCCAATCTGTGTGTCGCGACTCTTAAGGAGCTCGCAAAGCCTTTCCCAGGGGGTCGTCGACAAAATGAAAAAGGCAAAGTTCTACACTACAATTAGAACACAATTTCAGTGGAAAGGATGGGCATGTTTATTTTTCAAAAATTTGTCAAATCGTGATGATATTTTTGGAATGCCAATACATTACATCTTGCCCAAAAGTCTCTGTCAGGCCTCTGTTTTCTGCTATAAATTCATTCAGGAGTCAATATTCTGTTATTCATGAACATAGGATCTGCTATATGACTATTTTTCACCTCAAATTCTTATCCTTCAGTTCAAATCAAGAGCTAATTTTTGTTGCTATGTTTCATTTTGACACTGCTCCACTGTGTAACTGAGCTACATTTTTAAAACTTGCCTTGGGTTTTGTTGATCTTTAATTTTAATTCGTTTTGATGTTTCTATTTCTTCAGTTTGTGTTGACGTTGTTCATATATCATTATTTTTATTTTGGTTTGTTGCTGTTATAGTTCAGCATTTATAAGAAGTGTTAATTGCATTTTCAGATTACTGACAATAATTATCAGTCATTTTATTTGTCTTTCTTTGGTTTATTTCATTTTGCATTGAATCTTGATGTAACTATTTTCGTTTTGCAATTGTCTCATTCAATACCCAAGGAAAGATATGTCCTATAAATTGCTTTGAATATTGATGTCTGAACCTGTGATGTAATGCAATCCTGTAATTTGTCCAATAGCAAGCGCTAAAACCGATGAAGCTATTCCTGCGTTTGAAAATCTTTTTTTTTCCTGTATGTGTATTGAAAAATGTTTATACACTGTGTAGTGTTCTTTGTCAAGTCTATTTTTAAACGTGTTAACACTTGGTGCTGACACTGTTTGGCGTTCCATGAATGAACAATAACTCTGTTGCTCAGAAAGTTTCTCCTAGGCAATTTTGCGTTTTTTTTCTTTTTAGAGTTTCTTGGAGTGCTCACAAAAATATTTCTCTGATATTGCAATTATACTAGTTACTGGATATTTCGTATGTTTTGATTAAGTCGCATATGTCTTCTCTCCTTTAAAGTTATTAGTTTTAGTCTTGTCAATCTCTCTGTGTATGGAAGTATCGCAGTTCTGGTGGTATTTTTGTAACTCGTCTTTGTATCTTCTCTTGAATTTCTATATTTATTTATTTATTTAATATCTCCTACATCTTGCATTTACAAAGAATGTCTAAAACTCCAAACTACCCAACAACCCTAACATCCTAATTTACTTTGTACTTCCTTCTTAAATGAAATTATTTTACTTTGAAAAATATCACAATTTGTTTAATTGTCAAACATTCTTACTATAGGTGAGGTAAACTGCCTATTCGTTCTTGGTGTATCATAGGTCAATATCTGTGACTGTCTGGTACTCTTATATTTATCTCTGGCTCAACAGATATTCATCTTCACATGATAATGAAGAAGTTTATACAAAAACATTACATTAAAATATTTTCTTCTTACATCTAACCTACTGTAACCATGTTGGATACACAACACATCATATGGTACATCAACTGGGTGAACCCCGAATCTCTTAAAGTGTAATCTTTTCAAAAATTACTTTTGACAATTTTCTATTGCATGGATTGACCTCTGATAATATGGGTCCTATACAACTGATGCATATTCTAATTTTGTCCTAGCTAGTGAATCATACAAAAGTTTGACTGTAAAAATGTCCATATCTTTTGTGTTACAATAGATAAACCCTATAATCTTAAGTGCCTCACCCAGTATTTTGTCTACATGATCACTAAAGCTTATAAAACTGTCATATGAAACACCAAGAGCTATAATTGAGTTTTCCTCTTTTAGCTTAATATTGTTCAAAAAGTTATCATATTCTACTTAATTTTGTCTATTTTTTACTGTAAATTTCATTGTAAAACACTTTGATACATTAACTGCTAACTTCTTATCCACAGACTATTGATACAATTTGCACAAATCACTTTGTAGATTTTGACAATCATTGATATTTCTTATGTTTCTATATATTTTAATATCATCCACATTGTACTACGTTGTTTATAAATATAATAAATAACAGTGGCCCAAACTTATGTAGACTAGTAGGGCTTTGACTTATAATTGTTATGAACAACAATTTGTTGACGTTTATACAGAAAAGACCTAATCAGTCTAATTAAGACATATGGCAAATTCGCCTGCAATAATTATCAATTAGTATTTTTCTATCGACTCTATCGAAGGCCTTTCCAAAATCCAGGTAAGCCAAATGGACATCTCTGAGCATCTCAAGGGAATCTGACATATATTGGGTAAAGGTTATCGGGTTTGTGGATGTTGATTTGCCTTGCATAAATGCATGTTGCTCTGATGTGAGGTCATTTGAGCATTCTGAAAGAATACGAGTGTACAACACTGATTCAAACACTTTCGAAAAGTTGGGCAATATACTTATTGCTCTATAATTCTCTATATCACACTTATTGCCCTTTTTAAAGATTGGACAGACCTTGCTTAACTTCCAAATTTCAGGATGTTTTCCTTTCATGCATAAGTTAAATATTGTAGTGAGTATTGGCGCGAAAATAAACTTGTAGTATTTTACTACAAAAGCTGGAACGTTATCTAGTCCCATAGTTTGTTTTGGTTTTAAATTATTTAAAGCATTCATGACTTCTCCAAATCCGGAGACTAACAAGTGAGTCATACAGAGTGTTTCAATGCTCTCATTGCTGTCAGCTGGTGCATATACACTTTCGAAAAAAATACTAAACGTTTCATCAATTTTTGAGTTATTGACAGGGCTGCCGTTCTACACCATGTTGCCTAGTATACGTGAGCAGATTCTTTTGCTGTTGATAAATTTGAAAAAGTTTGAATTGTTCTCTATTATACTTTCCTCCAACTTGGTAATGTAAACTTGCTTGGCCTGTTCAATCAGAGCATCTCTTATATTATTATAATTAGTCTGACAATTTATAATACCCGTTTTCAAAAATAGCCGTCTATTTCTATTTTTGGCTTTAATATCACAGATTATTTCCCTGTTGAACCACGGAGGATATTTATTGATCCTAAAAATTGTCTTAGGAACAGTCATATCAAATATTTCATAAATCCTACCATATAAAAAAGATATAGCCTCATCTGCTTTACAACACCATTAAAGAATATTCCAATTCACCTCCAGCAAAAGTTGATACTTACATCATTGGGAGATTTACTTTTTTGAAATTATATTATCTCCAAGTTTGATTTTGTTTTGTATTATTTGCAGGTCTGCTACGACCAGCATTGGATTATGATGTTCATCAGCCTTTACAAGAAGTTTCCCAGACTTCCATACTTTATAACTTACATTTGAGACTAATACATATAGTAGGTATTTTACCATTTCCATTTTTTATGTTATTAAATTGCTGAAAAGCTGTGAAATCTTAAAAGTAATTAAATATTTTTGTTGTTGGGTGTTTACAATCATCCAGATGCGGTACATTCAAGTCACCAATTATTATACAATTTCTATTGGAATCGTTTGATATGATTTTATCTTCAAACACTTCAAAAATATCCTCATATATTGCTGTAGCTTTCCCAGGCGGTATGTAAAATACACAGATTCTAAAAATTACTCCATGCACAATAATGTCACAGAGTAGAATTTATAGATCTGGCTTTATCTGGATCTATTGAAAGAGTTCAACATAAATGCTTAAGATTTATTTCATTCAAGAAGCACCATGAAGTTGAAGATATCAATTACTCACATGTTGAAAGTTCTCTTAATATTATTACTCTCCAGATCAGATAAATGCACAAGGATCTTACCATATTCTATAATATACTGCACTCATATGGCTTTGGTCTAGGGCTACTGGCAAAAATTAATATCCATGACAAACGAGGCTTCAGCTTTTACGAATTAGACACCTTAGTATTTATACTACTAACTTTTCTGTCAAGGTCGGCGAGATTTGCTAATCAGTGTTCTGATAGGTTGGATTGTTTCGATAATCAAAAAGTTTTTAAATCCTGTATCATGTGATATTTTAATGTCCCTAAATAATTATTATAAAGCAGAGAGTATGCGGGAAATTCCCCAGCTAATAATTTAAAAGAGTGTCAAAGTTATTTTAATTTTCAGTCAGATAAACACTATCACAAATAGCAGTAATGCTTAGCTCGACTTGTTTTCAAATTTGGTAACTATTGGGATTGACAGGGTCAGCGCTATGATTTTGAGCAATAGTGTTCACCACACAGCTATATCTATGAGATTCAGCCATAATATTGAATACCAACTTTCTAATTGTGAAGAGTGCTTTTTTGATTTTAAAAATGGCAATTACATTTCATTGAATGATTATTTGGCCGGTCTTAATTGGAGTTTAATGAATGATTTGACCCTATGGTTTTATGAAACATTGTGGGAGGAGATAACTTTATATGTTCCAATAGAGAAATCCAGAACTTCTAACTTTCTTGTGGTTCAACATTAAGCTGCAAAGATTGCTTGTTGAAAAAAAAAAGCTTGACAAAAAATTTAGAGAAACAGGAGATAATTTGTTGTTTTCTGAAATGAGGGAAGGTACAAGGATTTGAGGGTCCCCTTTTATAGAATGTACCTGGCCAAAACTATCATCTATTATTACAAGATAACACAACCCATACTAGATCAGCTTAGTAAATGAAATAATTTATCTATACTACAATCTTACCTGTGGAGAAATGTACGACCCAGGAGGCTGTATCTGCATGGCGCTCATGCCGGCAGTCAGCTGTGGGATAACATTGGCATACTGCATAGACGATTCGCCTGTAGGCATCATAACCGGTATCCCACGGGGCGTTTGTCCGTCTCTCGTAGTCACGTGACCTTGAAGACCGTAGGCGTCGTCCACTTGAGGTAGGGGCGCTTGCATCACGTATTGTGTCGGTACCCATTGAGGACTATAGCCTGGGTACTAAAATTTAAAAAAACAATACATATATTACAATACTCTTGTTAACAATTATTACCGTATTAAGTGGATGCCTATAATTGTACGCTTGGATCATGTGTTGTCCGGCAACACCGTTCGATGCTAGAGCCTCAGGGGCGTAGCCCATGGCTCCCATACTTTCCGAGGCTTCGCGCCACTTCATTGAATTGTCGTTACTCTGGAAGTAATACTAAGTTTTCTAAAATATTTCCCTGATTTCTTAAAATTTCATTTCAACACTACCTTATTGTATAAGTTTTTCTTTTTGTTTCCGCCGTCGGCGAATTTCACCAGCAATGGGTCTTTGCAGTTCGGCAAAATATGATTGTTAAACATCTGAATGATTTGTTCGCACTTTTCTCTCGATTCCATACGGGCGAATCCTACACCTTTCGATATGCCTACAATATTATCGATTATAAATTACAATGTATCATTATTATTATATATTTTACCCTGTGAATCACGAAGAATTCTAGTCGATATCACTTGGCCGTATTTCGATAGCAAAGTGTCCAGGTCCGATTCTTTAAATGTGGGCGGCAAATTGGCAATATACAAATTTGTTGGGTCTTGTTCTTGTTGCTGTAGAAAAATATTGGTTTTTTATTCAAGTGTTTCTTTGTTTTTTGATTTTTTTTTTTAAATTGTTTAAAAGTGGAAAAATCAATTCTGTTAAGAATATATTTAAAAAAAAATCTAGTGGAAATTTATCTGATAACTGTGGTGATATAATTTTTTAACTTTTGCTGTATAATAAATGTGCCACTTTTAGGATTTCGTGTAGTTGTACAGGGTGTTTTTTTTTTATATAATGACACCCCACCTACAGCCTTTACCTTTACAGGTAGATGAAAGGTATAAATACAAAAGTATTGGTTAAATTTTTAAAATCCATGGTCAAAAGCAAAAATTGAATGTCAGAAATGTAAAATATTGCATGCTTTCAGCTTGTTTCAAATGGGATGCGCTATATTTGGTTCTATATTCTTGAAGATTACAATTTCCCGATTCCAAAACTATATAGTTTGTCTATATTTGGTAGAGCCGTCTCCAACATATTTGGTTTTAAAAATACTAGGTTTGTTCCAGCAGGCTATCAGAAATGTTGGCAGCAGCTTGTGACATGCGCAATGACAAATTCGTGTTCCAGCAAAGAAATGTTAGTGACAATTTGCAAATGTCAGCTGTTTCAGCAGATGTTTGAAACATTTATAACGTGTTGGCAACTGCTTGAAATGCTTGTCGATTTTCTTCAATCATTTTAATTCCTTAACCCAACTTTGACCTTCACCTTTGATCAAGGTTCCACCTGATCTATTTTTTCATTACAGAATAGGGCAATCCAATGAAAATGGCGGTCAAGCAATGAAATTGGCGCCATACATTTATTTCAAAGAACCAGGACATTTTTCATCAAAAAACTGTTTTTTGTCTATCTTGTGGTATTTTAAGGTGATTTTTTATTGTTTGGAAGGATAATTTTCGAATTTTAAGATGGAAAGTTTTTATTTTACGAAGTTATTAGTGGAAAGCTCGGATTTTGGCAAAAGTTATCACTTCTTTTTGACAAACCTTAACCTACTAAATAATTAGGTACTCTCCAGGATTTGTTTTCTGTTTAGTTTTTTTTCAACAAAATCTTGAAGGTTATTGTCTGCTATTCAAGGTATCAACACAAGTTTAGGATAGTAAATGGCTTAGATCCATACAACGTTTATGTGGAGAGACTTTTTGGGTTTCTAAATCATCAGATTTTTTCTCTCAATCCATGAAGCTTTACGAAGTACAGACAAATCGTTTTTTTTTCTTCCGTTAAAAACCTGTGTTTTATATCTGCAGAAACGGCATAAAACGAGACTTTGTCGCGATTAGAACGCCTCCCGCAACTAGGGATAATACATATGGCGTAGGCATTTTTCAAAAAATGTACACTTTACTTCTTTACGGACTTTACACAAATCAAAAATCGCAATAAAACGTAGTGTATAAACAAACACACCTCACATAGTACAGACGCTTGGCATTGGCCTCCATATTGAACTTTTTTTTGACAGCTCATTGAATTGCCTTATTGGGAAATGTCAAACATTTTCGTTCCAGCAGAAATTTGTTGCCAACTTAAAAACATCTGTCACCAACAAATTTAATTGTTAGGTTAATGTCACCAACATGTTTCCAACTTTTTGCTGGAACAAACCTAATATCAGTAGTAGTATTTTTACAATTTTTGGAGCCGAATATATGAAAGATTGCTCAATCAATAGATCGGGGCATTGTGCTCTTCAAGAATATAGAATGAAATATAGGGCATCCCATTTGAAAAAAGCTGGAAGCATGCAAAATTTCACATTTTTGACATTCAAATTTTGTTTCTGACCATGGTTTCTAAAAATTCAGTCAAAACTGTAAAATCTGTTTTTTTTTTTAAAGATAAAAGTCAAAATGACATTGTGTTGGCAATACAATGTAAAATTGTCAAAGCTTTCAATTTTTTTATGTAGAAAAGGCTTGTGTTGCCAACATCGTTACTAAATTTTTGACTTGGGGAATTATCTTTAAAAAAAAACAGACTTTATAACTTTTGTATTTACACCTTTCTTCTACCTGTAAAGGTAAAGGCTGTAGGTGGGGTATCAATACAATATAAAAAACCACCCTGTACAAATAAGTGGATTATTGCGGAACTTATGGGTGGCCCTCTGGTCATCTAATCACCAATATACTGTTGAACTGTTCAAGTAAGACATTCACCTGAAACGTGAAGTTTTTGAACTAATGAGAAAAATTCACAACTGAGTGAATCAGGTTAGTATTGTACTTGAACAACATATTGGTGAATGATGAATAGATGGCTGGGTCCACCCATAAGTTCCGCAACAATCCACTCGTTTGTAATTGAATAACTTGTCACAATATATTACTAGTTTGGTAAAGTAACATTACTAATTCCTGTTAAAAGGCAAATTGATAAATAGTGGATAATCTTACAAATTTTGACTTTATATAATAAATTATTATTCAAGTACAAATAAGTGGGTTGTTGCGGAACCTATGGGTGGATCGACCTCCGCAGCCATCTACTCAACAATATACTGTTAAACTATTCAAATAAGACATGAGGAAATAACAACTGGTGGCAATACATGTACAAATTTTATTGCGTTAGAAAGCATTATGTTCACATTCTGACACATTACTGGTATTACTGCAAAATTACCGGCATTACGGTGGCATTCTCTGGCAACATGAGACATTGCTCGGTATGAATTCTTTTTTGTATGTAATAGTTGTATATTTTGTTCCTGATAGTGCAAGTGATTCCTACGAGAGATCTTTTGATAAAATAGAAAGTAATCTGACTGACAGGGGTGGGTCTGAATACATCATTGTTGGTGACTTCAATGTTCCAATTTATGTAAACTCGCTCTCTTGTAATGGCCCATTGAATATTCTTAAGTCTTTCATGTCCTTCAATAATTTATATCAACATAATCAAGTAAGGAATAACAATAATGTTCTTCTCGATCTTGTCATCTCCTCTTTTGAAGGTGTCCAAGTAGTTAAAACCAACGATAGCCTACTCCCGGTTGATGGACACCATCCGTGCCTTGGTTTGTGCCTGAACACTAAAAACGATATTGAATATTGTAGAGTCAACTCGACAACCAAATTTAACTTTAAAAAGGCAAATTTCTTATTAATGTACAGACTTTTTAGTGAGCAGGATTGGGATGACTTGGAGGGCCTTACCGATGTCAATTTGACACTGGAATCCACTGGAATCTTTTTATTTACTACTTAATAATATTTTCGAGAAATCCATCTCTAGGGCAACTCAGGTCGATAAAAAAATATCCTGTATGGTTTAGCAAAGAAATTATCAAGCTTCTCAAACAAAAATATAGGCTCTTCATAAAATCAAAAAAATACAAATCTCACTATTGGAGACATAAGTATGTTACTCTTAGGAGCGTTGTCAAATATAAGGTTAAACTTGCTCATTCCAAATACCTTCGCGATATAGAGGCAAGCTTTAAATCAAACCCTAAAATTTTCTGGTCCTTTCTAAAAACTCTAAAAAATTCTCCTGATTTCTTGGAGGAAATGGTCCTTGATGAGACAACCTATTCAGGATCCCAAGGTGCGGCCGACGGTTTTGCCAATTTTTTTAAATCGGTATATATAAATGACGACGATATGAATTGTAACATAACGAGCGTCAAGTCATATTTCTGTAGTAAGCCTATCACTTTTGATGAGAATGAGAGGGCAATCGGGAGAATCAAGGCAAATAGGGCAATCGGCCCTGACGGAATTCCCGCCTATATTCTAAAAGGTTGTAAAGAATATCTTTTAAAACCTTTCAATATTATATTCAATTTAATTTTAAATACTTCGAAATACCCTGACAAATGGAAAATTTCTAAAATTATTCCTATTCATAAAAGTGGAGCTAGAAATGAAATAAAGAATTACCGCCCCATAAGTATTATGAGTGCAGTCTCAAAAATATTCGAAAGAATTATTTTTGAGCGGCTTTTCGACGAGATTTCAGGTAATCTTGCATCCTGCCAACATGGTTTCTTGCCCAGAAAATCTACATTTACCAACTTAACAACCTTTTGCCAATTTGTTCATGAAGCCATTAACGATAAATGTCAGGTGGATGTCATCTACACTGACATGGAGAAGGCGTTCGATAGAGTCAGACATTGTGTGATATTGGAATCTCTTAAGAGCCTAAATGTGTCCTCATACCTAGTTTATCTGATCCAGTCATACTTTAATGAGAGATTCCAATTTGTCGAAGTTAAGGGTAGCAAATCAGTTTTATTTTAAAAGTTCTTCAGGCGTTCCGCAAGGCTCTAACCTGGGACCTCTTCTATTTTTGGCAGCCATTAACAGCATAGTTAACAACCTTGAAAATGTACAAGGACTATTAATCGCAGATGATTTCAAGTGCTTCATTCGAGTCGACTCTGTCGAGGATTGTGAGACCCTACAGAGCGATTTTTGTAGAGTTGCAAACTGGTGTGACATTGAAAGTTTCAATTTAAATGTGAGTAAATGTACTTGTATGACTTTTAGCCTAAAGAAAGAGATTATTAGGTATGACTATACTCTAAATAATGTCAGATTGAACAGAGCGAGTCAGCAAAAAAATCTTGGTGTCATTTTTGACACCACATTGTCTTTTACCGATCACATAATTGCCAAGATTGAGAGCGCTCAAAGAACTGCAGGCTTTATTGCAAGAAATACCAGATGTTTTAGTGTGGAGGTTAGCTTGCATCTTTTTGATAGCCTTGTTTTACCGATTCTGGAATATGGTACAATAATTTGGTCCCCTCAGTACAATGTTTGGGTATCACTCATCGAGGATGTGCAGAGAAGATTCTAGAAGTGCCTGTATTTGAGGAAATTTGGAGAGTATCCTCGGAGAGGGTGTGACAATGAGTACCTCCTAGGAATCTTTGACAGGATGTCGCTTAGTAAAAGAAGAATTAAGATATTTTTATGCACATTGTTTCGTATACTCAAGGGAAACATAGATTGTCCAGACATTCTGAGTCAATTACCAT